CATCCCAGTTGGCCAGCACATATGGGAACTAGATGGGTCCCAACTGGGCCATAGCCTATTGTGAAATGAAATGTAAATTAAATTGTTTTAGGTAAAATAATATTGTAATATACTGCTGTATTATTGACACTTAAGGTGTCATCAAAATGTTTTGGTATTTAAGCCACTATAATGTGAGGTAAAAAAAAAGAAAAAAAGAAAAACCTGAATAAACTCAACCACAGCCGTAGATAGCCTATCTGCTCTTTAAAATAGCCAGTGCATTTTTTTTATAAACAGTGTGTGCTCGTGTATGTGGCGGGGGTTGTCATGGAAATGAGAGAAAGTAATCTCGCGATAACCGGTGATGACTCATTCATTCTAGAGTTGCCGCTCAGGATCAGCGCCTAAAATATTTCAACGGCTGAAGAGGAGTTTTGAGTTGGGCCAAACAGTGTCGAAGGTAAGTCCTGACTAACAAACAACACTATAGAACTGAAAAAAACACTGTGTAAACCTAAAAGTTTGTTCAACTACTTTTTTCCCTTTAGCGACGTTCTTGGCTGGGTGGCTAAACGTCCGTTAGCTAGCATGCTATGACTCAAATGAATTTAACATGTAATGTCCTAACTTGCCAATGTAGACTCACTAATTATGTTAGAACAACTGTCAGACGATCGACGTTCGTATCTAGAGGTTTTTTTTTTTCAAATATAGGTTTGACAACAACAATTAATTTTCACGTAGTCACGAAGAAGTACTACATTACCCATAATCCCAACGTCTACCAGCGGGGTCTGTGATTGGCTAAACTCTTTTTACCCGCGAACAGTGTTTCCGTTTCCGCTAGGAGGCTCACATGTTGGCTAACGTCATGACGATTCGTAATGCATTTTATGGCACAGTGAGTATGATTTCTTATGCTATATGCACACAGACATAGAACAACACATACTATAACACAGTGCCATGCATGTGTTAGCAATGTAGATATGCCGTCATAATGCCAAAAGTTTAACTTCGTGACAGTTAGTGAGCAACTCTGTATGTTGAATCAGTGTATGGTGCGTTCTTTCATTATTCCGTTTCAAAACAAAATCAGAAAAATAAGCAAATGGGTCCGTTTTTCCATCTTGAAACCAAAACGGAAAAACAGAAAAACCGAAAATGAAAAAAAAAAAACAGCGTTTTTCTGTAGGAGAACAGAGTGGAGACTAGCAGAGTCACAAGCAGATGCAATTTTCACAGTGGGACTGTTGAGTCACATTATTAAGATTTAACATTTTTTCAGGCGAGAAAGCAACCATGTAGATTCCCCATATGTGTTCAGTTTATCCAAATAACGCCTGTTTGTAAATCTACTGCGACATTTTCGGACATGTGAAAAGCCGTGACCAGCCAGTGTTTCAGGTTAACAGCTGACCGGTTCATGGACGCACGTTGTCATGGCAACGGCAGAAACAACTGCGCTGACTGTCCAACATGGCGGAGTCTGAAGCATAAATAACATCATAAACTTACTCATCTCCAAATAAACATTCCATAAACATCATTTCATTTCCTATATTGTTTCCCCCGTCTTCTGTCTATATCTAAAAATCCAAGTTAATAACAAACTGACACCGTTGTGGCTTAGATCATTTAATTAATTACTGAGAAGTGAATATGTGCACAGAACATTTCTAACGCTATTTATTTATTCTCAACACAACATCAGTGTTGTTTTGAGCACATTGTTCATTGATCATCAGTGTCATAAAGCAACTGTATTGGGAACACTTAACACTCGCTCCTAAATGGGCGGCAGTAGCTCAGTCCATAGGGACTTGGGTTGGGAACTGGAGGGTCGTCTGTCGAGTCCCTGTCCGGACCAAAATATGGAGCGTGGACTGGTGGCTGGAGAGGTGCCAGTTCACCTCCTGGGCACTGCCGAGGTGCCCTTGAGCAAGGCACCGAACCCCCCAACCACTTGGGGCGCCTGACCAAAGGGCAGCCCCCTCACTCTGAAATCTCTCCACTTTGTTCATGTATAGGTCCTGTTTGTGCATGTGTGTGTCTTTCAGACCTGTGTGTAATTGACAAGCAAGAGTGAAAACATTGAATTTCCCCTCAGGGGATTAATAATAAAGTAAATAAACTTAAACTTAAACTTAACTTAAATATAATCTTGTGCTGCTTTGACTTTTAATGATAAAATAGCAAAGACAGCTTTGAGTAGCTTGATCTTCATTTCTGATCCATCACCTAATAACTTCACCTTGACAAAGTGCCTCGAATTAGACAATAACGAGCCTCACTCTTATGCTCTTTCTGGATGTCACTTACAGGGAGTTTGAAAAAAAAATTCCCTCACCAATGACATAACAAGGAAGGATGCGGAAAAGGCAGTGCCAAAATGGCTGATTGGTGCCAGGGACAGGGGCGCAACCATGCCATGAGAGCACATGGAGGAGAGCAAAACCGGTAAGTCACAAAATATGCAAGATATAAATGACAGACACAGTGCTCAGTGCTTTTTCTACACTCTTTAATTTTAATTTTTTTTATAGTGTTTGCTGTGTTCATGATCACGATGTGAATTTTGGCATCAAAACAAATACGGCACTTAAAGGTTTAAAAATATAAAAATTAAAGAATATTTTTTATTTATAGCTCGGAATCATGTTTGCTACAAGAATGATCACCCCAACCCCTTTCTATCTGTTGTTTTGCCATTTTGGGTTTAAATTTCATGACAATTTAGCTGTGATAGATTCATATCACTATATAGGCTGTATAGGGTCTATAAACGTCTTAAATTCAATTTGGAGCACCTTTGAGATACTTAATAGATCACAGTAATCAGCTATCTCAAAGCACTATTAAATGTGGCAAGGTCAGGCGTTAATCTTTTTTTTTCTTTTCAAAGGGCCTTTGGAACAGGGAGGACACAGGAGTAGGCCAAGTACAAGAAGACCATCCGCACATGCACACCCACACAACATTCTGTGCATTACACTGTTTTTGTTATATTTACAGTTGTTGAATAAACTGTTATCCTTAGAAATTTGTTTGGCCTCTCCTTTTTTTCCCCCTTTTTTTACAACCTTTGACCCAAGGCTGCTATATTAGCTTTTTAGTCTTCTAATCATTGTTTTACTCTTCAGTTAGACTTCATAATGTATCATCACCCCTATTCAATACCAATCTCATTACCAATGCTACTGTATTGAAAAAAAGCATCAACGGTCTCTGTTCATTGAATATGTAAAAACATTTTAGTTTTACTTTTACACACCTTTCTTTAGTAAAGTAAATGTTATATGTAACACATGTTTTCATATATATATATATACATATATATATATATATATATATATATATATGAATCCATGTGAATGTGATTTAGTCCATATGCATCTGCTGTGGTCCACACAAGCACTACATAAAACAAGAGTTGTGTCCTATCACCAACCCATGAAAAACTCCATAGGCTCCACATGGGAGAAACTGGTTTTGCCCACATGGGACCTGTATGAAGCCCAACAGGGGCCCGTCATCAACCCATGTAAGGGAAAATTTGTGGGACCCACATGGGGAAAAACAGTTTTGCCCATGTGGGACCCGCTTGAAGCCCAGCAAGGGCCCATCATCAGCCCATCAGGGCTAACACATGTGGGGCCTCCATGTAAACTGAGGACAAATTTAGCTGGGCCCCATTGGGCAGCCAGACTGGGCCCCACATATCAGCCCTGGTGGAGCCCATCTGGGCCCCACATGAGTGTGCTGGCTGGGCTCTCTCTCCCCCTTCACCTTAGCTGTCCTATAAATTAAAGGCAAAAAAAAAAACCCGCCCAAGAATATATGCAGTTCACGTAACCCGGCTGAAAATTAATACATATAAACGTTTGAAGATCCACTCATTACAAAAGTGTATGTCATATAAAAACTTAAGTAATGGTCAAAGTTGTCATATGGAATATTTAAGGTGCGTTGATAGAGTCACGTCGTCAACTCATGCATTGAGTAACATTGCAAGTTAATGTTCCACCTTAAAAATCCCACCAGTTGGCCCAGTGAATTAGGTTATTTTTTTCTCCGACTCTGGCTGCTGCAAGAGGCAGCAAAACATCCTTATATTTCATAGTTACAATTTACTAATTAAACTCTCCATGATATGAACAGTGGCTTCTGCCTCAAAACCAGCCACAACTCAGCCCTAAGCAGAGTGAGTATCTGCTACTGACCAATCAACTGACTGGAGTGTTCACAGCTCCACCATTTAGTACCAGATCTGTGTGCTAGGTACCCCAACAGAAGGGGTACCAAAATGGTAATGGTATAGAGCGGTTCCATTGGTACCATCCACAACTTTTCGCAGTAGAAACGGAAAAAAAGCATACAGAACAGAACTGAACTGTACTGTATTGCTCGGTGTAAGTGGGGCTTTAGTTACATTAATACTCAGTTACATTAATACTCAGGTGAGTAAATTGGTGAGTAATTTAGAAAGGAAGTGAGGCAAAGTGAAATTTACAAGCTGCGGGAGAGTACTGATTGCAGTTGAAATGCTAAACGGACCAAGGGTATAGGTACCATATTTGAGGGGTTACTTTTGGTTCCAAAGCTACTATACCAAAAATGTTTGGTGGAAATGGGGCTATAGTGTACATAATGCCAGGTTAAGACCCCGGCGCCTCCCTACTGATAACATTATGCAGGTCCTGACAGATGGCAAGTAATGATTGATCAGGGTCCAATGTTTAGTTTGCCATATCTCAAGTCACAGCAAGAATTTATGATTCATAATCGTCTCATCTGACACAGTGGCGATTTTGAAAAATGCCATAGATGCATAGATCTGCATGCATTGTTGATTTGGAAGCCTATATGTCAGTGTGTTTGGATAAGCTGACCAAATGACGTGGCATACTGCAATGCAGCTAGTATGTATTTACTCTACATTTGACTTGCACTTGAGTAGCCTTTTGTGAACAATTTCATTTGTTATGTCTTAACAGTGTGTCTCTCTGTCTTCCCAGGTGATAGAGTGCATTACTCAGGGCAGGGTACTGGAGCGCCCCAGGCTCTGTCCCAAAGAAGTCTACGATATGATGCTGGGCTGCTGGCAGAGGGAGCCACAACAGCGCCTCAACATTAAAGACATTCAGAAGATGCTGTTCACTCTGATGAAAGCCACACCAGTCTACCTGGACATACTGGGATAGGAATGGATATGACAAGAAAGGAAGGTTGAAATAAATCATACAAAGAATACACTGAATTAAAGGGAGATTGATTGCCTTGGAGCAGAACTGCCCTAGACTCACAGCATAGTGTGTGTGATGGAACTATGTGAAGTAGGACTAGGAATGGACTCTACCTTGCATCCAGCTGCCTGACATATATGGCTTGGAATGAACTATCGTGAAGTAATTTGCATTTAACTGGATTGGAATTCACTGGATTGCATTGCATTGCATTGCATCACATTATAATCAAAGGCAACGTCTTGGACATGACCTAAATTGTTGGGTCTGGGCTTGTTTGGTCCAGTCTTACTCCTTTTTGAATAAACTCATGACAAAAAAAAACTTGATTGTGAAGGATGGATTACATCAAACTGGACTGAACTGGATTAACCTAATTATGCTGGTCTGGTATGGTTTGGTTTTCTTACTCCTAATAATTTAGGTATCATCATTTGCTAGCCTATGTATCCCCAGTCTTAATCAGTGCACCTTTAGTTCTATCTTAATGAAACTTGACCTAACCCGGTAGAATCTGGCTCAGCTTGGCTATATTTCAAATGTCCTGTCCTAGATTATAGTTTTGCTCAATTTAACTACTTTAACAACAAACCCTAAATTAGAGCTGTTTTAATTGCCAGGCATTTTTTGTCAAGTGGTTTTGCTGGTCCTTACATAGTAAACCATCCTCGACTTCCACTGTGGAATGTATTAATTCAGAAGGAGGATCTGCACAGATCTGTGATTCTTAAACATTTGGATGCCTGTGTGTTCCAGGGTATCTTACCCATACCTGTCTGCCTATTCATTTACATGCCTTGGGTTTGCCATTATCACTTAACCAGACTCCGTGCCCTTAATGTATAACTTGAACATGTTTATGGCAAATGTTTTGGAAGATTTTTATGACTCTTCACAGTTACTAAACCTGTCTCTTAATTAAATCTGTTAGGGTTAGCATTCTATTTAATGACCCACTTATAGGGTGTAAGACTTACTTCTGATGGATTATTTATTGCAAAGTGATGAACATTATCTTTGGTAGGTGGTTCTTAGCAAAACCACTAGGAGAAGAAGCTGCATCATTTCATTTTGGAACCTTTATTGGCATGACTACACCTGGAACCAGCAGCATCCTTGGGCTGCAACCATAATTGTCCTGATACAAACATCTAAGAGACTAAAATGCTGACAAATTAAACCACCACAATCTAGACAGTAATCAGTAAAAGACAGACCAGACGGTTCTGTCTTAATGTTAAGGGAATGCATTGTTCACATTACCATCTGTAGGACAGATAAAATTGTTCAATTCTGTTCATTGAAATGTCAAGCAAGTGGGTCAACAAGAAAGGACAACTTACATCAAACATGTCACATGCAGCAGCTAATGTGCTCTTAAGTGCTAATCCTATGTTTTCATCTTCAAAGCCTTCATAAATTCATCTTATAATGCTGGACTCATGTTACCCCACTAAGCTGTTCACCTCTGCAAGCACCCAACCAGACCTTCCAATTTTGAGCCTGGAAGTGTGGCCTGTGTGACTGTCTGTCGCCATAGAGTTGGACTTAAGTGCCTCCTATGTCTTTCTAAACACTGGGAACTCAAAAAAGAAAAAAAAAACGTCTTTCAAAATAAAAGCACTTTTACATTTTGTTTACATTTTGCTTAAAAATGTACACTAGCTGTAAACCTACCTACTTTAAGCACTCTATGTATTGCATAAAAACAAACAAACTCAAAAACAGGAATAAAAAGAATGATAAATAAAAAAAAACAACCCCTGGAGAAAAGCAAAGCAAAAATGAACCAAAAAAAAGCTTTTTTATACCTTTTGTAGCTTAACCCGAATGTTGAACTACCCAAGGTGAAGTTATATTTTCTGTTTTTTTTAAGAACGATAAAAAACATATTCTATATATATTTTTTTTTAATTTTTATTTTAGATCAAAGAGTGGACCCCTACCATCCTCTAAAGCCATTGGAATATTCTGCCACTGGATAGGAAGGAACTGATCACCACTGAAAGACAACAATTGGCTGGGCAGAAGCCTTCAAGGATTACTTTAGTATAGTGTTTCATACCTGGATCCACTCTGTCAGATCCTGGACATGATCTAGAAACATCAGCTGTATGGTAACAGAAATTCTGAACTGAGAGGATAACCAGTCAAATAACAAAATATTTCTCAAAAGAAGGGTATATACTGTAAAACTCTATGTCTTGAGACATGTTAAAGGATAACCGGTATTTTTCAACCTGGGCCCTATTTCCCCATGTGTACAGTATGTGTGCGTATGATTCATAGGTATAACTCGTTTTAAAATTGGTTCAGTATTGAGGGAGGCGAATGCAGCCGGCAGCCGTGAGGTAGATCCCGTATAAGTTTGCGCATTAAAAGTGCTTTTTTACGCCACTGACCAGTTCAGATCGCCAGTGTTATCTCTGTAAATAGCATACTAAGCGTTTCCCTGACTCTTCACCTCTGTGAAGCTGTGTGTGACGTCATCTTGCGGGAGCTTTGCTTGTTGCCGGAAGAAAACAGAGGAGTCATGCTGAGCGCCACTCAGAGTGGCGCTGGTTGTCCCGGAGTACAGTTGAGAGTTTTACTGCATCGGTATCATGGCTGCATATTTACCCGATTTCGAGAATGAGGATGAGGCCTTTTATTATGATGGCTGCCCGTACTTATTTGAGCCAGAGTATACGGACGAGGAGCTCCTACAAATTGAAGAGCAGACGAGGATAGAGAGAGGACCAACGAGCAGACGAGGGAGAAGCAGCGGCTGCACAAACGCGAATCTCTGAGGACTGGTGGTGCTCCTGTGTTTGCTGTGACTCCATGCCCACAGAGGAAGAATGTCTGTGTTGCAACGAGTGGGACCTGTTGCCCAATATTCATGGTCTCGATGTGTCCTGGGATGATACAGAAACTACCAAACGCTGTGTAACTACTAGGCTGACCAAACGTCCTCTTTTGCCTGGACATGTCCACTTTTCACGTCCTGTCCAGGGCGTCCGGGGGGTGTTTATAAATTGATGATAATGTCCGGTTTTTCGTGTGTGTGTGTGTGTGTGAGTTAGAGTGCGGCACGCGCCACATATTTCTGTCCGAACCCGACAGTCATTCTGTTTTGTTATGTCCGAAACTGAACCAAGCCCAACATTATTTAATTACTAAAGCGCTGAGTTTGTGTCACACAGTTGTTATGGTTACAGGCTATTTAACAGGAGAGGGAGACCTCCGTGTTTGAGATGGGAGCGGGCGGTGCGAGGCCCGAGGCTTCCAGCGAGGGGAGAGGTAGAAACAAACAGCCAATGTGTGTGTGTGTGTGTTATGTTCAGGTGTTGTCACGTAAATAACAGTCCCCAAGCAATAAAGAGGACAGACAATAGGATTTTCTGTATTTTTACACTACATTTTCACTGAAAGCTGACCGAACCTGGCCCAACATGTTGGGTAGGCCTACCGTTGGGACCTGTCGGGCTCGGATCGGGTAGCCACACTCTAGTGTGTGTATGTGTCCCCTATCTATAGGGGCCTATCTGAATTTCTGTCTTTGAGAGATATTATTTTGTAATATAACTGAATTTTCTATCCATACATATAAACTTTAAATATATTTTAACTTTATTTAACTTTTAATATTATTTTCATGTGCCCAAAATAAATTGGAGAAGGCGGCCAAAACCACAGGGACCAAATGGTCAACTATAGTTGACCATTACTAAGTAAGTATAACTAATATGTCTTTATGCATGTAATACTGATACCTAGAATTGTCTCCGAGACGCACATTTACTGTTGCATACTTTGCCCTCGTATATATCGTACCCTGTTTTCTTCCGGCAATAAGCAAAGCTCTCGTGAGATGACGTCACACACAGCCGGGAGGAGGTGAAGGGTCAGGGAAACACTTAGTATGCTATTTACAGAGATAACACTGGTGATCTGAACTGGTCAGTGGCGAAAAAAAGCACTTTTAATGCGCCAACTTATACGGGACGCATATGCCCCCATATCTACCTCGCGGCTGCCGGCTGCAACCGCCTCCCTCAATACTGAACCAATTTTAAAACGAGTTGTACCTATGAATCATACGCACACATACACATGGGGAAATAGGGCCCAGGTTGAAAAATACCGAAGTTATCCTTTAACTTATCTCTTTTTCTCCAGTTTGATTATTCTTAGCTTCTTGCTGTGTTGTTATATGGTTCAGTGAAAGCCAATAGATATTTTGATAATATTTCTTTCTGGTTGTACTTATAAGTGTTATTATTTACTTTATCTAGTCACACTATGTCTCTTCAAAACTTTAAGAAAATAATCTACATTAAATCAATTTCAGTCATTTTTTTTGATCATTTGTTGGTAATGTATGAGTCAAGATAATAGAAGAAAGTTATAAGGCCCGTGTTTTATTGACCTGCTCTAAGGGAAAGTACTGTGCTAGGATCAGAAACATTCTACAGGCTTAAAGGAACAGTTTAACATTTTGCAAAAAGCTTTAATTTGCCCTTTTCCACTCTGAGACAGAACATATCTTTGTGTCCACTAATGATAGCCTATTCAGGACAAAGAGTGGAACCAGGGGGAAAACTGCTAGCCTCGCTCCCACAAGTATTACAAAAAGCTCTTCCATCAATTCTGAATCTGTCCTCTCAACTGAACATGGCTTTTTCCCCCCAAAGGTTAAACTGTCTTAAAAATAACACTCAATATATATCTTTTATTTTGAGCATTTTGGGATCCTTTAATTCTAAATTTTTTATTGTATTCCTCTGTGCATTGTTCATGTTGAAATGTATTACCCACCCCAACAGTTTTGCCCCCTGGTTTGCAGTTCATTATGATCAGAAAAGTACTTTTACTCAGACATACCTAATAAAATGGCCTTGGTGTCTGCAGTTTTGCCAGACACTTTCAATATATATATTAGGGCCGTAACGGTACATGTATTTGTGTCAAACCGTTCGGTATGCAACTTTCGGTTCGGCACGACCCTGTACCGAATTATTGGGCGCAGGATATTATTTTATTTTATTTTGTTTTATTTTAATTTCGTTTTTGTGAGCCCAGCCATTTAAAATATCTAGTTCCCCGACCGACATAATTGAGTGACGGACCGAGTCCCGTAAATCTCCGCTTTCACTTTGTGCAGCGCATTCTCGCATTTTGACAATATGGCAAGTGAGCCTGACGAACCTGAAGACCCACCTGCAAACCTTAAGTCCTCCGTTCGGGAACACTTTGGTTTCAGGGTAGAATACGAAGATGGAAATAAACAAGTTGACAAGACAAAAGCAGTGTGCCGACACTGCAGAACAGCAGTCGGGTATGTACTTGGAAACACGTCTAACATGCTAACGCATCTAAAGCGACACCACCTGAGTTTGAACATTAACAGGCACGACTAGAAAAAGCAATCTGGTGCAAACTATGATATTGTCGTCGTTTAAAAAGAAAGAGTGTTTCCCTGACCATTGCGCTAAAGAAATAATCAACGCCATTGGAGTTGAGTAAAATTGTTTAAGCTGCACTTTGGATATAAGCATGTTTTGTTTACTGCACTTTAAAAGCTAAGTAAGTTCCTAGTAAAACTGAATCTGAGCAGGCTTTAAAGCTGACGAGCTGCACTATACTTTTTATTTTAATTGAGTAAAACTGTTAAAGCAGAAATATATATTTATATTTTTCATTCAAAAAATGTATTAAAAAAACAGCAGGATTTTATTTTTCACTTTTATATTTCTATTTTCATTCAAACAATGTGAAAAAGCAGGATTTTATATATATTTGTTTCATTCAAAAATTGTGTAAAAAGAGTTAACTGCTGTGGTGGTATGTTTTAATAAGGTTACCAATAAGTAAAAGATATTTAATAGTT